ACGCCTCCCCATGCGTCGTCCCAATGGAGCCGAGATTTAATGACTGTACACCCTCAGGGACGACGCATTGGGAGGCGTGTGAGAGGCGGAGAGAGCGGGGATTTTCGCTAAGGCGCAGACAATGTGATTAGCTTAATTGTCTGGCACGCCCCCTTCGCAAAGCAACATGACCAACATCGGGAACCACAAAGTTTTCCCGACTTTACTTGTACTCATACTTTAAGTTACGATGGGGTGTGCCAGACATTTAAGCCACAAAAACTGAATGCAATTTTGTAAGAGTCCCCTGGGAGTAAGATCGATCTAGCTGTTATGATAGGGTTATGGGAATGATCCCTTAGATCTAACAAATAAGTAGAATCTTTCATGGTTTGGAGGTTCTAATTAGTTTTGACACTGGTCTGAAGCTTTCTCTGACAAAAACACATATTAAGCTTTATATCTCCTTACGTAACTGTTATGCAATAAATTAAAAATTAATGATATGAAATGAAAAGCTGTTGAAATAAACTTTCTATATGCAACATGTTGGTATACCTTAGAAGATAGCCACGATTCTGCCCCCCCCCCTCCCCCGTCTACATCCTTAATATTTTCATTCCAATATGAAATGAGGAATGTCATGTCATCAGAGTGCCTTGGACAATTTGTACTTCGAGCATTTAATCGAGATTTTAGTGTAAACTTAGGTTTTTCTCTATAGTTTTTGAAATAGAAGATATAATTTTGGTTTATGACCTTGAGTTCCCCTTCGGATTGTGTGAAGGCGCATGCTTTATCAACAACTCTACCTGTAGGCAGTTAACTGCGAACGTATGACCACGAAATACTCTCTTCATCGTCCCTGATTTGGCATCAAAACATCTGCTTAACGTATCTCCACATCCGGTGAATACTGATATAGCCAAGAATAAAAATAGTTGAAATGTAGAGAAAAAAGTATNTGAAAACGGGTAGTGTGGTCTGATATACCGGTGAATTCAGGATCATTCGGTGCCGAGTCTGGTAGTTGGGTAGGCCTGAATCCACACGGTGGCAAAGCACCAAAGAAGATCACCGGGTGCCCTGTAAGTGCACGCTTATTGACACATATACTGTATATAAGGATAATTATGTTGTATAGAGACAAGAGAAGAATCTTTGCGAACACTTTATTCTATTTTTATTACTTTCTTTAATATTTATTTTAGAGGTTTTTAAAGTGATTGAATCTAACTCCATTTTAATACTATTTACATGTATTCAATATATTCAGTATATTGCAAAGAGAGTGCAGTAGACCCTTATTATTATTATTATTATTATTATTATTATTATTATTATTATTATTTGCTTCATTTCTGAACACGTACAAGTAGCTGATCCTTTTCACGTACCAGTATGTACGTCATTTCTTTACAAATTGGCCGGGCTCCAGAAGACTAAATGAAATCTAGGAATTTATATGAGCAGATATGTTAGAATCTACAACTATAGGATAATTTCTCATGTCTTTTCACGCGTTGTAATTTGCCGTTCCATACAAAATGAACGGCATTTCAAGTGACTGCCTTATGTTTCTACTGGACATCTGGGCGCTTTTTGTCGACCAGCCGATTCGATATGATATGACGTCACGCACAAAGGATCGATAAGTGAACATGTAAACAAATGAATACAGTAGGGGCCTACCTTATGGGGGGGAAAAGCAAAAACCAAGCCTATATGCACATAGACCTGTACCCTTTATAACTGAATGTACAGCAATACGAGGAGCATACATGTACGTGTGGTTCTTTCTCAGTGTTCATAACAAAAAAGCAAAATAATCATACATCGTATACGTGTATTTTTATCTACATAAAACAATAAAAGTGAAAGGGGTAGGCCTTGGGGGGGGGGGGGGGGTATGCTTAAAGCATCCCAATTTTATATCCTACCTTCATCTTGTTCTATTCGACAATAACTTCCCGCCATATTACACGTGCTAAACCGTTCTTTGGGGATAGTAAATGAAGCCGTGTCCGCCACAGAAAATCTGTTCTTTTTGTTTTGTGCTTTATGAAACAGATACGTAGAGTTCTTGTGGCGCTGAAGACGATGATGAGTTTGGTCCTGCTTTCTTTGGGTGTCAACTCTACCGTACCCTGGTACTATGTTTACTGTAGTTGCTGAGACCGACAAAGTCAATGGTCCATCGGCAATAAATTGGTCACTGTCTGAGATGTGTCGACTAGAATTTCTACGTTTTTCATTTACAGTATTTGTTTCCTGGCGATCTGACTGGCTTGCAACTGGGTATACTAGTCTGTCTGGCACAAGGCTACTACGTGATACTTTGCAAGCACTCGGGCAGGAACCCATATCTGATCTCGCAACCTATTTTTTCTTTAGTCTTTCTTTTTCTTTCCTTCCTTCTTACTTAGGTTCTTTCTTTCTTTCTTTCTTTCTTTCTTTCTTTCCCCTTTTCCAAAATGTTTATGAGAGAAGTGGAGTAATGTTCGTACTGACACACTGGCTATACAAGAACTGAATCAGGTCCAGTTGTATGACCAGTCGCTCAAGACTTCCTCCTTTCATTGAGGCAGATATTTCAGGTCTTCAGATATCAGAAGTAAAAACAAAAATTGTCAGTCACAGCTGCTGGTGGCTTGCCTCATTTGATCTTTTCCGCCGATGATATTTGCACTTGTACAGAACCATTTCATTAACTTGGACTGGTCCTGCTGGCAATGCTGTTGACTAACTCGACGGTCTTTTATTTCCAGACGTTTACCGAGTAACCGTCCTAAGAAACCAAAGGATTTTTCAAGCATTTACTCATTTACCCGTTTATGAAATGACTGTGGCAGTTTTCACATATTAGTTTTGATTGACAGTTATTGTGCTGTTGGCTGCACACATAGAGGCAAAGATTACTCTTTTCCATTTGAAGATCTCATTTTAATTTCCTTCCATCCTCGAAGGAAATGCGTCAAATATACTCTGGGCTGCTTCTGTAACAACCCACTGTCCTTGAATACATTTTCCTCTGGTGATTGTATTCCTGTGCTCTTAATGATGTTGCAGATGATCTCTTCATTAGGTGCGCTCGTTCTTATCGTTATTAAATGTGATAACACGAAGATTTTAATATATAAGTATTTACACCACAGCAATCTACATAAATGGCGCGTGGTCTATTAAATACATCCATTTCTCCGTGTATTATAAACATTCAAACCTGCCTCAGCTAAATGGTTCGGTTCATCATTTAAGACAAAACAGCATATATTTTATAATACCGCTTTAGAAATCTAATTACAAACCATGCACTGTATATCGCACATGTTTATATATCTTTTAGAGCGCATAATATTTGGCTACTTAATCTTTTTTTTATTGTTATGTGTGTGTCGTGTCTCAACAAAAGTGATTGCATATTTCATAAACAAAAGGCATTTTAGTGTATTTTATGCACTATATAGTATATGGAAGAAGAATATGAAAATGCATGCAATTTCCCAATCATCATGGAAGCCATAAGAGGCTGCACCTATACACGAAGTAAATCAGCTAAAACGATCGCACTGTTACATAATTATATCTAATTATGCACTTTATCAAGTTATAAAGGTTGATTGTTTATCCAAAAGGGGATCACAAGCATTTTGGTTCTAGACAGAATGGCCCAGAATTTTTTTAGTTACAAGGATTCGACATGGCAGCAAGACTGTGCATTCCTTGTGGAAACATCACGAACAACTAACACAATTACGATTCGCTTCCCAACCCAATCTCAGGTCAATAATGCAGAATAAAAAAATTATACATAATCGGGGGAGAATTGAAACGCTCTATCTCCTTTTTTACGTGTTGATATATTGGCAGTTTAATGCCCAGGATGGGAGAGAGAACACACTTGATATACTCATAAACAGTGCTACCAATCCTGCTGTCAAAAATAAACTACTTAGAGAGATAGGACAAATTTTCAGCTTTCCAACGATAATAAATCCATAAGAGACTGAACTTAGAATTCTTACTCATCGATGTGTTAGAGTAGGGTTGAGATAACAGCCTTTTTGTAGTGCCCATGTACCCAGTTGTCTAATTATTTCTGATTATGATATTATATTATTTCAGATTATTTTATTCTTTTTTTTTTCGTTTTCATTATTGTTTTGATTATTACATTAGCGTTTTGATGAATTCAATGTGTATAAATGTTCATATGGGAAACCTGGCCTTTTAAAGCACAGCTTCAAGGAATGCTTGAGACGCAGTTCACACAAAAAAATAATAAAACCCACGATGTTCTTAGAACCTAGTGGCATGGCGGGTTACTGCAGAGGCCAGCCATGTTTTGTTATAAAAAATCTTTAGGAAAATTCATATTGAAATAATAAAAAGAAATAATAAGTGCTAAAGGAAACATAATGCAGAGGAAAATAATATTTTGCCGGCTTACCGTCCCCATTCTATTCGAAACAGCTTACCCAAAACACACATTTTGAACTGTTGATTCGTATTCTCTTTTAATAAAACTTAAAATCACGCTGTAGTAATTAGCAAAAAAATGCATTCTTTACATGTTCTTCTCTTAAGCATATGCGATATGCACATGTAAATATAACTATTAAGGGGGCATACATTTTTTTCATTGTTTTCACAAATGTACAAAACGTTATCCAAATCCCTTCCTAGCGTACCAAAAAGAAATGACCTTTACAGAAATTTGTATCATCATTTGTATTTTTTTCAGAAGCGCACAGAGCTTCCAACACAACACACACACACACACACACACACACCAACACACACACACACACACACCAACACAACACACACACACACACACACATTCGGTTTGTAGACTTTTGAAAATGATGATAAAAATGGATGGCCCTAAACAATAATAGTAAACTTTGGTTTACGAATACAATTTATTTATTAATCTAATATTGTAACACAAACACGAAACAGCGACGTCAAGATTTCCATTCACACTCCTTGGGCGGTATCACATTAATAATTGCATATGCTTATGTACAAAATCTGATCCACGTGACAGTATACAAGTAAAACACTTACAGTATTGACGATTTTTGGCATAATTCTGCCATATGGCAAAATAAATGCTCATATTCAGAGGCAGTGTTCACATTGTCAAGTTCACACTAACAACAATGATATGATTGAGTGTAAATATTTTTCCGATATATTATGGAATATAAAACTTATTAGAAGCATTTTAAATAAATGTGTTTCTTTTACAAGGAAATTCTAGCTCTGTCAGATAAATAAATTTGAATTTTCGTGCTATAGAAGGAAATTGTTTGTTTAAACAAGTTCAATCATTTGTTTTTCCTTTTCCGCTTTATTTGGAGACATGATGGCGTGTCCGTTAGAAACACCGTTTTGTTGGTTCGTTTCGTCTTCTATGATAATTTGTGCTTGACTCTTGTCGACGTCATTTTGGTTATTGTCAACCTCCAAACGATCGACCGTTTTTTCTGACTTATTTTTCTCCTTGTCGTCATCGTCCCGTCCAAATGTGATGTCATCTTTCATTCCGGTGATGTCCCAAACGCGTATTGTGCAGTCATGTGACCCGGTGAAAAGCTTTCCGTCAGCAACCTAGTGGAATATTAAGGTGTCAGTGACTAGTCTAAATTGTGCTTTAGATTGGGTATACGATTACTTTTAACTTATTTGACGTAAAACTATAAAATCATTTAGCATATATCAAACGTATTGTCTTCACTGGCAAAGGTATGTTGAGAAAGTTTAATTCAACTGAGTTGTTGAGCCTCAGTAAGTCACAAAAATAATGTCATATCATTACATACTAGTTACGATGTGCTGCGTAAAATACTCGTAACCAAAGAAATATGATGATAGAGAGTTATTACGCAATCATATTTAATACATATTGGTAATCAAATAATGTCGAGGACTTCATCGGAGGAGATATCCCTCTCTGCCACCATTTTTGATCGTTTTTTATTTGTCATACCGTGAAAATTTCCACATGGGGGCTTGTTGTGTTAATGTCATTTATAAGAGAAGATACCATATACTGATAAACATGGCATCTTATATTTTATAAAATGAGGCCGGGGGTTTGCCATTGTCAGAATAAAAAATTCTTTTAAATATGATTTGAATGCGTGCATGTGTGCGAGCGAGCGAGCGAGTGCGTGAGTGAAATGCGTCTTTTTATTACAGGTAACTTCCACGTCGTTGCGGGATGCCTACGTTTGTNGCTTTAAAAAATCTGAGAATATATTATAGCAAATATAATACAATTTTAAATAATTGAAATGCATTTCTTTCTAACATTCAGTTTACGTACGTTTTTTGGTAGCCTCTCAAAGTTTTAAACCTCAAATATTGGAGACCATAATAGAGTCAGCCAAGGACACGTTCAGGGAACACGTTTGAACTCGTAATGATGGACATTTACAGGTGTAGGTCCAGTATAGAGCTTCTTGTAAACAGTTTAGAACCAAGGGACCGAACTTGATTTGAGGACCAGAAGAGAGGCTTTACATACGTTTAGGCACACGCAAAAACAAAGAAATATAGATTAATGTAGCTCAAAAACTAAATCTCCTCAAATGAAGCCTACGTTAGTCTGTGAAAGCACACACACATCACTTCAAGTCAGAAAGAGCGAAGAGGCAAATGCTTGAAACCAAAGTAAATACTGAAGAATAAAATACAAAGTTTTGTGTTAGTGCAGAAACACAGTAATCATACTCTCTGGCAAAGGTAAACATTGGCACTTTTGAATGGAGAAAAAAGGATGTGGGACTAGCTTTAATATGTTTACTAATTCGTATCCCATCTCTAATCCCTTATTCTCAGGGTTCTTCTCATATTTCCTGTAAAATATTCAATTTAAACCCGTAGCCTTCGATTTACTTAGAATGCATTAACATCTCAATTCTCTCAAAACGCTGCAGTAAATAAATAATGCAGTCTTAAATGTAAAATATAAAAAATCATTTGACTGACTTTAATTTAAATATATCAGTATATTTCTAAAAATAAAATTTTTATTTAATTTTACAACGTTATTGTCTTCGAAATTGATTGACCGTCAGCAAACATAACTGTTTTCACATTAAGTGAGGTGGATATCCTGCTCACAACGTCAAAACATGTTTATGTACACACGGTAAGCATCTGGAGGGTAAAATAATACGCAGCCGGGGCTTTAACTAGACAATCAACTATTTGCTGTCGTCATAGCCTTTTACAACTTAACTCAAAACCACCATAATATAGTTTCTCTGTATGGTTCGGTAACAAAGGGACGAGATCGTTACAGAAAACAAAATTAGCGAGTGCACTTTCCATATGGTCATGCAAGGTGCGTTATGAACCCATGCATTTCTGAATTAGTAACGCCATGTCGATTACGCAGCTCGACATTTGGCGGTTACTGCTCGAATTACGCGCGGTTAACGTGCAAGTGCAATGCAACATCACTGGTGCTGTGGAAAACGGATCCAAAAGGGAACAATGACAAAACAGATTAAGGATGAAGACGGGAGGGTGCTAAGAACGTGGTTATCTTCTTAACCGACCAGGATGTACCAACACGTTGCATATCAATTAAAAAAACTTATTTCAACAGCTATTCGTGTTATTATTTCATTACATAATGGTTATTTTTTAGGAGATATTATGCGTAATAGGTTTTCTAAGCCTGATCTTTATACCCTAAAAACTATAATTCCACTACTAATAGGCCACATTCACATCGAGAAGAGCCGAGGCTCTACAAAGCCGAGACCTAAATATGGCGGACGTACTAAAAGAAAAACCGGCTAATCTTTCAATAGTCTCTCCGCCTCTCACACGCCTCCCCATGCGTCGTCCCAATAGAGCCGAGATTTAATGACTGTACACCCCCAGGGACGACGCATTGGGAGGCGTGTGAGAGGCAGAGAGAGCGGGGATTTTCGCTAAGGCGCAGACAATGTGATTAGCTTAATTGTCTGGCACGCCCCCTTCGCAAAGCAACATGACCAACATCGGGGATCACAAAGTTTTCCCGACTTTACTTGTACTCGTACTTTAAGTTACGATGGGGTGTGCCAGACATTTAAGCCACAAAAACTGAATGCAATTTTGTAAGAATCCCCTGGAAGTAAGATCGATCCAGCTGTTATGATAGGGTTATGGGAATGGTCCCTTAGATCTAACAAATAAGTAAAATCTTTCATGGTTTGGACACTGGTCTGAAGCTTTCTCTGACAAAAACACATATTAAGCTTTATATCTCCTTACGTAATTGTTACGCAATAAATTAAAAATAAATTATATGAAATGAAAAGCTGTTGAAATAAACTTTTTATATGCAACATGTTGGTATACCTTAGTCGGTGAAGAAGATAGCCACGTTACTGCCCCCCCCTTCCCCGTCTAAATCCTTAATATTTTAATTCCAATATGAAATGAGGAATGTCATGTCATCAGAGTGCATTGGACAATTTGTACTTCGAGCATTTAATCGAGATTTTAGTGTAATCTTAGATTTTTCTCTATAGTTTTTGAAATAGAAAAATAATTTTGGTTTATGACCTTGAGTTCCCCTTCGGATTGTGTGAAGGCGCATGCTTTATCAACAACTCTACCTGTAGGCAGTTAACTGCGAACGTATGACCACGAAATACTCTCTTCATCGTCCCTGATTTGGCATCAAAACATCTGCTTAACGTATCTCCACATCCGGTGAATACTGATATAGCCAAGAATAAAAATAGTTGAAATGTTGAGAAAAAAGTAGGCCTATAAATGTATAAACCAAGGATTAAAACAACAAAGACACGCGTCACTGGAAATACACAAGTTGTCGTCCCATAAATGCGCCTACCTTTTGCTAACAACACAGGGTTCTTTTTAACGCCTCCTACACCCACCCACACTACCCCCCCCCCCCCAAAAAAAAAAAAAAAAAAAAAAAAAAAAGCACGTTTTGTAAAGATACCCTAAGTAAGTTAGCAAAGGGGAGACGTGCACATGGTACCAGTTAACAGACGACATTAACCTGCATGCAGTTGGCGCCGGTTTCATGGCCCTTGAACTGACGCTGAACAGACCCGGACTTGGAGTCAAAGCAACGCACAATGCCGTCCCCACATCCGGTGATCACTAAAATAAGATGGGGTTAATAGCAACAGACAATTGCATAGGTTTACATATGAAGCAGTACAGTGAAAATTGGATTTGTCTATCTTATCATTTTTCATTTATTATTTTGTTATTGTCAGCCATCGCTCTCCATGCGTGCCTTGTAAAATATGTATGCTTTTTCACGGCATATATTCTGCCTGCCTGTTTGGTTTTGTTGATTGATATTGATGGTGTAGTTGTTTATTGTTTTGAAATCTTGTTTTGTGGAGAGAAAATATATCATGGTAGCCTAGACAACGTGGTGAAGACTGTGCTCTCCTCTGTAGCGCTGGAGCACGCCTGAAATTACATTATCATATCATAAACATGAAAACAACACGAAACGCTGCGATAGTGTCAATTATCACTAAGGTGAACTTTGCGCTTCATAAATACAAGAAAAGGCAATCATTTGTTGCAATGGGAGAAAAGGGTGACCTCTTCTTTTCCTGTGGCGCAAGGAGTAACAATTCCCGTGCTTAATAGCACGCGAGAGCTACATCACCCAATCTAAAGCACAAGACTTGCTTTTTAAATGGATTCGCACTTTTAAAGTTAAGTTCCCAACAATATTTTCAAATGCGTAAATGTACTTAATTTGTAAGGCTATATACATCGTGTACTTCAAATGGGCATAAGTAACAAATACGTAGTTCACAATAAGTGCCAATGCCTTACCAAGTCCTTCATGAAACTTTACACAGCTCACGCTGTGTTTATGTCCTCTGTAGATTCGTGTGCAATCTCCGAATTCTGTCACCCACGCTCGACCTGTCTGGTCTGAGCTTCCGCTATACAACATCTTATTGACAACCTGGAACAACGAATGGTTAATAAAAACACACAACCACCTGTACAAAAGTTACATTCCTAAACTTGACAAATGCAGTTATTGAAATTTGCAAGAAACGCCTTTATCTCTCTTTTAATTATTTTGTAACTATGTTATCTCCTGCAGCGGGTGCTCTACGTCTCTGTTCACTGTAATATCTACATACCACATATATAGTCTTCTAATAGTCCCTATAGTCTTTTTTATTTTGGTTTAAGTGGTTTAAGTTGGTGAGTAAAATCAAATTACTAAATGCCTGGGTAACATTCGAAAGACTAGTAATAGATATGATGAATCCTTGTAAGAAGTTTTAATCTGACGAGAAATAGCTGAATTGGCAAAAACAAAAATTGTGTCCATGCACCCAACTACCTCTTTGCCACAGAGTTTTTTAAACTACGTGCACTTTTGTTTCACGCTATGAAATAAATTTGTTCAAGTGATACGTTTGGGTATCAACGTGGTAAATACTGTTTAGTTTAAATACTTATGTTATCATTTCCTGGATCTGACTACTTCACTTTCAGAAGTGAGAGGTTTCAGTGGTGAAAACAGATATGATGTTCATAAAGCGTAGTGGCTCAACAAAGGAAAATATACTAAAACAAATAATCTCCTAATAATTATTTGCCATCGATTTTCAGCTCATTTATTGATAAAAGAATTGTATTCTATTATCAGCTGAGTAGAAACAACTTTGATCCAAATGACAATGTCCTTGTTTATTAACATTTTCAAACAATGTTCCTACTGCTGAAAGCTGTGATTGTCCGTATCTACAACACACAGCAGAGCAAAATCAATGAAATGCATTATGGACAGGTAATAAGTTCTCGATTTGCAGTCTGAATACATATAACCACAGCTAGAGCACGCTGCATAACATGATTAGAACACATTCCTTTATTGAGAGAAAGCATGTTAAATTTCAATTTGTAAATAAGCCGTGGGAAAGCAACAAAGAGTTTTTATACATGTATTCGCTGTTATAAATTAAAGAACATTCTGTGGCAGTCCAAGTTTTTTTCAACACTTTTGTTACACTAATGTAGATAATACATGCCTTTTAAAACGTTTTTTAAAAATGTAATTCATCTTTCATAATTTGAATATATTGGTTTTAGCAAGTCTATGAATGTTCTGCACCTGGTACACAAACTCATATCGTTATGTCCTGTGTTTTTCCTTGAAGCAAAAGTAACAGAATGCATCCTTCCAGCTTTAATGAAAATAATAGAGACATTTCACATTTCTTTTTTGAATGGATGAATTGTGGATGAACATATAAAATGGCACATGTGCGATCAGGGTTACTAACTCAAACGCACGTCAAGGCTTGGTCCCACCCGTCCAATAACGAGTCACACAAGTTTCTCGTCAGTGCAATGAAACAATAACTCCAGTAAAAATCATCATTAATTATCTAGATATTAACTGGAGAACTTACAAAGATAGAGATATTAATCAAACACCAGGGAATATGTATGGATATCCAATAATGTCGGTGCCATGCTTCGCCAATAAACTCCTACATTGACGTTTGGTATAGGATTCATGCATCCATCTGAATTTTGTGTATAGTTGGTTTCATTTATTTTACCATGCACCCTTGAATGATTGAAAAGTGTATTTTCTGGCTTGTGTATTTCAATTTTTCTCATAGAATTGTCATTCTTGGGATGTCTCCTTGGTTCAGCTATATGCAATTGGAATTTAACTAAAAACATATTCATATATAGCTCGCTGGGTTACATTGGGCCAAACTTAAATTAAGCACTAAGCACTCTGTTCTTATATGAGATGTTAGAGAAGCCGTGTTTACGCCTACATTTTAACATACTCAGTATTATTTGAAAAATAAAGGTACATGTATCTCAATTCGTTTGGTGACTCATATACCTCCCCTGGGGTGTTGGATTGCCCCCATAATCAAAGACATGCACAAGTACATGTAGGCCTATATCTGACGTTCACACACACTCTGCTGTTTGCTCCTTGTAGTAACCTATTATTCAGTTATTAAACAGAAAACATTTAATTGACAACGGAGATGAATGCCTAGAAATTATCAGAACAGAAAAGTTTTCGAATTCTATGAAGTATATTTTTGCCATAAAAGCCTCATATATGCCACCATACAGGTTCAAATAGCATAACTTACAGAAATGCTAAAGGGCTTCGTTTCACGTTTCCCAAAAAATGATACAATGAACTCTTTGACAAACACTTTGATCTCTTTTATATATGTGTAACGTTTATCTTTCGACAATAATAGAGGTATTGTGGAAAGAAACAACGGCCTATATAATTAACATATGCTTTAAGGTGCAAGTTAATAAGATTGTTCTAAAATATCATCACAAATAGCTAATTCAATCGTTATAAAATTTCATCAAAATAAAACAACAGTTACTGTGTTAATTAAAGGGTGGACCTCGGCGTATTAATTAAAGGATGGATAAAGGATGATTGTGTGTGATGCGGCTTTATTATCCCTACGTCTAAAGGAAACAGGCTGATTAATGCATAAGACAAACGTGACATAACATAATCCATATGAAGACAATGAATCCGAAAACCCACTATATTCCACTTTGAAAATCAGTTGCTTTAATATAATAATTGTTATTGTTCAAAACCAATCCTTGTGTACTCCCCCAGTAGGCTACATATTGAAAACCACTTAATGTATATTTAAATATTAAAATATTCAGTCTACAATGACCATCAGGTTGAATCTGGGTCGTAGGTGCAGACGAAAATGAGTCATGCTGTATTCTCTTGGGCTCGTTTTTGTTTCCTGCAGGTGTTTTTAACCATTCTCTGAGTACGTGTGTGTGTGTGTGTGTGTGTGCGTGTGTAATGTCATTGTTGAAATATGACTTAAAAAAATAAAACAATATGAAAATTATTCCATTCGGCAGTTTACAGTATAGTACCAGTAGTCATATCAAGAAAATAAGATTTATACTTGTTTTGAGGACTAAAATGAATCCGTGAAATCGACATGAGTCATGATAGCGTTCAGCGTTGATAATTATCACTGTGTATTGTATTATAAGTCTTATATCATCAGCATTTCAAAACATCTTCTCTGTAACTATAAAGTCTTTGGTTTAAAAATAAAAACAAATCTTATGAGAAAATATTTGAATATCACAGAGGTAGTTGTAGTTACTGTTTACCAAAACTACAGACACGGTATGTCTGACTTTAGTCGGATCTCATTCTTCACGGCAATATGCTCGGTGAAGTTCGGTCGTTTACAAAGCTAATGAAAAACTACGATATTACATTTGCATATTTCAAAGCCACTTGGCCTTTTTTGTATTAGCAACCTGAAATTTATATGCAGAGAGTACTTTCTTTGTTTGAGGAACCCAGACTGAATAAGGATTACACGTGGCTAAGGCGGGTAGTTCTATTACTAATGTAAGATTAGACTATGGGCTGAGTTACCACTTGTTATAACACAATTATTTGATACTTTTACATCACATACATTAAACATGTTTCATAGCTTATTGTACATGTATTTATAACACAGACTGGAACATATAGAACACCTATTTTTTGTAAAATGTTAAATCATTCAGACCTACGGTTTTGTCCTATATGCTACAGAAGAACGCTGCTTAATATTTTAGATAGCAGTGCTTACCACCATGCATATGACAGACCCAGCGTGTCCCTCGAACACCTTCATCTGGTCACCCTTAATGATGTTCCAACTGCGGATACTGTGGTCCGTGCTGCCTGTGAACAGCGTCCTGCCTGCCGGATCCGTCGCCATGCACGTAATCGCTCCCGTGTGACCCTGGAAAACCTTCAGCGTCTTCCCCGTCTCAAACGACCAGGACCGAGCAGTGAAGTCTGCAGATCCAGAAAGGAGTATGTCTTTATTTCCGTCCCAATCAAAACTCTCCGGTGTCACGTCTTCCGAATCCGCCGGAATGAAGATTAGGGGGTAAACCCCCTTTTTGTGGCCCGTGAAAACACGTATGCACTCTCCAGTTTCAAAGTCCCAGCATCGAGATGTTCTATCATATGAACTACTGAACACAAAGTCTCCAGTGCAAATCAGACGATTGACCAGCGAGTTGTGGCCGTTAAAAATCATCACACAATCACAAGTGGCAATGTCCCACTTTCGGACGGTTTTATCCGCGCTTCCAGTCAAAACGTAATTGTCCAGTATACAGATGCAATTGATATAGTCCTCATGGCCGGTCAGAATACCAATGCACTGGACTTGCTCAGTCTTTGTGCTCCACAGACGACATGTTTTGTCCTCGCTGCCAGTGGCCAGGACGGAATTATCATCACTGATAGCCATACAGTTAATGCCACCCTCATGATCATCACACGTCTGAAGGTGGTACGTCTTGTTCTTTGGGTTATCCGCTTTGGAGCCGCAACTCCCCATGGTGGTAGTTTAGGTGGGACAAACACTTACTTCACGCCGATTTTACGTTGCCCTCAAAAGTCAGTAAATTTACTAGATATGCGTACACTTATCTGTCCATATTCAAGCTGACTAACTTATGTGCAATTCCAGGACGGCCTACCCAGCACAAGGTGGGTGTCAAATTGTCAGAGGTTCTATCGCCCTTGTTGGTGCCGTGTTGCTCTCTTCTGTGGCTAACTGTGCTGTTTCATTCCTCCTATTCAATACTCATGCAACAACATTCGATCATTTGACATCCTATCCCCACAGAACTATCAATAGTCCTCATGAATATTTGATGTCATGTTGAAACGCGTTCGATTGCCGTGAATATTTAATTCTGCGCACTGTTAAACCGTCTCGCAGATGGCTTGCGCGTTTATACATCAATCTCCTGACTTCTGTCAGTCATCACTTCCGTTAATACAAGTCACATTGAAACATCCCTATTTTCTTTCAGGGGCAAATAAAGTTTATTACAAACTGTCTATTAGCTTCTTTTCATCAACTGGATAGAAAACCATCGGGCCATTTTCGCAAACTGCGTCAGAACAAAGAGATATTGATCTCCATCGATCCTAACTTGTTGCCATTGACGACCAGGTAAATTCTCGTGTAATTTCAGTAAATAAGCGACAATAGGCATATCAATCGACCTGGAACGCTCTTTTGCGAGCTGGGACTGGATTGCTCTTCAGTCGGCCCCTCTGACAATTCCTGATTAATTATCGATATATATTTTATGCCATAATTAGAATTATATTGCTTCATGATATTTGTGAACCGTTCTATTATTATCAATAAATCCAAAATTCTGCCCAAAGTGTTTTCATTATGCGGTCACTGTCAATGTGCAGTCATTGTATTTGAAATAACGGGTAAGATTTCCTAGAGAACGAGGAAAAATCGATTTAAGGAGCATTGTTCACCGCTGTGTAAAGTTTGTTTTGCAAGAAACATACTTCAAGCGGTTATGGATGACAGAGGCCGCGTCTCATTTTTTTGGCACAGGTTGGAAACTGGTATCGGAAGAAAGACTGGGACTCTGGGCTATAACCAGTCACATAAAAAATTCGTATCAAATTAACAACTGTCGAAATTCGTGTAGAGTTTTGTAAACCACGTCAAAAAGAAGAATATCATGCCATTTAACGAATGGTAAATCATCAGTTATCAATAACGAAAAAAGTTTTGTTTTTCAGCTTCTGCTCCTTACGCAGTATGCAATATCCACGGGAATTTTAACACATTTAGGTTCACATATTTACATGTACTAATATTTACAAAAATGAATGTGTTTTTTTATTGTGAATTGTTAGAAGGATGTGCTTACTAAATAAGACGCTTACAAAAGTAGGCCTATATGTACATAAATGTATATACACACAAACAACTTTAATGTAACAAAAAATTATCCATATCTTTGCAAATGGAGCAGGTTTTCGTGGTGGTTTTGAAAAAAAAATTACGTCACTAACGCAATTTCGATTCACTGTTGCCGGTTCACCACTACTGCATTCAGTCTTTGATTTATATGATCTATACTTATTATTTATTTATTATACATGAGATTCATTACAGTTCACATTAAAAAATAATAAATAAAATGGTAAGATTGTAAGATAAGCATCCAGTGTACAAATGTTCCAACCAAGGCCTCAGTATGAAAGGTATTCACGGTGCCCATCTATTTTTCAGGCAATGTTTCTACAGCGGCAGCAGCCGGGCAGTTGAAACCAGTCGATGGCATATTTGTCAGAGATCTCATTATACGTCCCTGGATCCCTCTCGTAGACTGCTGCAAAATATTTGGGATCTTGTATACACTGACAACCCGTGCAGCCCTTGACATGCCTGTAAGAGTGAAATTTCACTAAATACATTTTTGAAAACATTTTCTCACATGTAGTACGGTACCTGAATGTGGGTGCCAGTGGGCTTTTAACTTAGACACTAACTTATTTCAAGTACACAAATACACATAGTTGAAGTACTTGCAGCTAGGCTGACATTCAGTTGCAACAGCTGACTGTCACAGTGTGTGTGTGTGTGTGTGTGTGTGAGAGAGAGAGAGAGAGAGAGAGAGAGGAAAGAGAGAGACTAACCCGCACTGTTCGGTCTTGAATACTTGCTGAGCATTTTGCGGGAACTGAGGTAACTTCCGTATGATCGGAGGAATTTGCAGATTGGGGAGTGCCGTCGGAGCTGTATACACCGCAATACTGAAAGAAAAGAAAAAATATTCAAGTTTTGTTTAGATAAGTAACTCAAAGTGAGAGTACAGCTATGTCTTTTCCATGTAACGCATGCAAATTACTACTTCTTACACAACTGACATAAAATCCACATGCCAAAAAATAACCTTACACCTTTATTAATCATCTGGTCAGCCGAAAAAATTATTTTTGGATCGTAATCTTGACCTACAGTCCCTCCAGTTCAAAATGAAACGAAAATATGAAACTGAAGGAAATGATGATACGAAACCCTGTTGTATTGCTTTAAGTTATACTAGTATTTGAAACTATATGCTGGCATTTGGTCGGGTCTATTTGCAATATATGACACGTCTACTCACACAATATGCTTATTAAATAAAATACACCTTTTGTTGTCCGCATATTCACTTCACCATATTCTTTTACGGCGCCGTGTATAATAACTACTTAAATCTGTTATTGAAGAAACAGTTTTATCGCATTTTAGCTGACTGCTATCTCACGTCTTGATATTTTTTTTTACAGTTTTATATCAAATTATCTTAAATAGTTTACGTTAAAAGTTACATAGGAAACGAGCTTGGAATTCCTTTAACGCCTATCAATACTACCAGTATCTCACCCAACTCAAAGAAAGGCCACTTGCCAAAGGATGAACCAAATTAATCATCGCTCAGAAAAAAAAACCTTTAAAACTGAACTTTCTTCATATTTCTGGTCGTAAATTTGACCTCTACTTATCCATCTCCCCAGTTAATAAAAGTCCGCCAAACGACGCCTTACTGCTGCATGCGCATTATAATATTTATTTAAAGGGTTTTGGCAAAAACGACCGAGGGTTATAGAAGGAAAGCAGAAAAAAAACCTGTTAAATATCATTTATCGGCAAATATGAAACGATACTCTTTGATATTTCTTTAAGTTATGCTATTTGAAACTGTGCGGTGGCAAATAGTCGAATTAAGTGACAAAGATTTGACAGGTTAAATCGTTTTGGTTGCGCCTTTAGAGGAAACTGCATCGCCTTACGTTTCACAACATCCGTGGTAAACTACCCCCGGTGTAGACCGCCTCCTTCTAGCAGGTTGATTTTGTTCTGGGTTAGGCTTATATGGGAAGTAGTTACACTTCGGCATTGAACAATTAGATGTGGAAACGTTTGCTGGTTTGAGCACTGTTTCTGTCTTGGACTCATTGGCAATTAAATACTGCTGTTCTTCGGGGGTAAAAAAATAACCGGGAAATGTTTTTCTCAGATATTTCACAGTTTCCTGCACGGTGGCATTCTCACCCAGAGCATCAGGTGCTTTTTCTTGCTGCGGCCTGTAAAAAGAGCGAGACATAAGTAGGTATCTATATTCCAAAGAAAAAAATTAATACATGTAACTAAGTCCTATATTAAGAGCGTTTGTAAAAGTTGCGAGAAAGTTTATATGTCCATTTTGGCCTACCGGTTATTCCTGTTCTTCATTTTCTTTCACTGCATTTTCATTATTTTTTCGTCGATTATTTACTGTTTCAGAGAGTAGATTAAAAACTTTGCCTGACGTAAGTATTCCAAAAATGTTACATTTTGATCCTTTGTTTTAATTAACTTAGTGATGGAGGTAGTCTCGGCTTCATACAGAGTAAAATCAGTAAAGCCCCCTTTACACTGGACGGCGTCCTTTCTGCGTCCAGCAGTACGGCCCCTTTTGAGAGTTAAAAAATTATAATACTTTACGGCAGACAACTGGCCGATCATTGAGCATTCATTCTGATACAAAATCGATGCTTGTGCCTCCTTATTAAGACCACAGCGATGCCAAATTTCATGGTCGCAGAAAGGACGCAGAAAGGACGCCGTCCAGTGTAAAGGGGGTATTACATCTTGAGGGCCCCCTGTTGTGCACTAAATGATGAACTTCGTGAAAATTTCAGGGGTAAAAAACAGTTCGAGTATACAACACATCTAGCATATTTCTATTTTACCTTGTTATACCAAGCCAAACCACGATTCCTATACAGGCAATTAAAGCTATAAATAACATCACAGATAGGTAAGCCTGAAATAAGAAAATTTATTTAGCTGGATGAAATATATCATGAGTATGCCATAGCTTTATGATAAGTTAAGTGCTTATGTCGACATATATTAACATTGCAATGCACAAAAAGGCCAATTTATATAATCAAAAAGGGAAAGATACGTCGACTAGTACGTTTGATTAGCAACTTGGAAAAAAATTAAGTCAAAACTTGAAGGCACAGAATGAGCGTTAAATATTAATATACCATAACAAAAACCAAAAAAGATTTACGACCCATAATTATATTTTTAGTTCTAAGTTTCTAGTTTTTGAGAACCTCTCGTAATGGTTCTATAGTGAATTTCAGTCATGATGGTGAAAATTAGAAATTCATTATTATTATTATTTTAAATTTTGCAATATAAATGTCAATAATTCGCACTGCATGCATTGGCATGATTTTGACAGGACACTTTTTTCAATGAACAAACAAATTCTAAAGAAAATAAAAGAAAAAAATGACAGGTATCAAAATTATAGTATGAATCCAAATATTTCCTTTATCAAACGTAAAAGATTATCATAAATGATTAGGCAAAAAAAAAAAAAAACTAAGTACTTAATTTTTTAACTTACTAGTCTCGACTGTGTACATATTTTAGATGACATCATGAAGCAGCAAGAACTTCTCACTGAAAGATATTTCAAGAACGATCAATAGGCGGTAGAATATGTGAAACACAAGAAAGAATAACAGCTGAAAAACAATGTTTTTTCTTCTAAAATTCAGTGATACCTTAAATTCCATTGTAGATAGGTAGAAAGGAAGACGACTCGAAAGTCTTCTTGCTGGGTTACATCTCATCAAGGCGGGTCATCTTCACAAGGTCTTCATTTGAAACTTAAGGGTCAGGCAATTTTCATTACCACTGCAAGCAATTAGCTTTTACTCAACTCGCCCAAGCTTCATATATTTTGAATATGTTAAAAAACGCTAAAGGGCGTTCATGGTCACTGTGGTGTCCGTTTTATTATTCTAAAAGGTTCTTAACTTGGTTATGCTTTGATAGTTATACAAATTGTCAAGTTCATACTCTATGACCCTGAAGAGTAAATGTCTCTGCGACAGAAAAAGTCGTGAAAAGTATTATCATCATAAATGAATAGAAATAAAAGCCTCACGTCACTAAAACGCAGATGTTTGAAATTAAGAAATAATTAATTTTCCTCTATCTTCTTCGTTCTATCTTTCCCATCTTTCGGTTAACATGTAAAATTAGATTCGGAGATGCTACAGTCATGTTTTCTAAATGATAAGCATTGCTTGTACCAGTACAGAGGGCTTGTTATGTTGTTGACTGCTGAAGTGACTAACATGTTTACGACTTGCAAAACAATGGCCATTATTTCTCATATTACACTGGTCTAGATATTGACGCAAAGTTTATACGGTACTGATGACATGTCTGACCACTGCGAAAATCATGCAACCACAACCACAGATTTTTAAGGAAAATGTTAGGCCTACCTTATATAAACATAAGCGAATCGTCGTATTTTATTATTCATATACATGTACATTATTGCAACAGTTTTGGTCTATTTCTCTCTCGGCGAAAAGGGTTTTCAAAGATTATATATGAAATTGTTTTGTCTTTTTAACCCTAACTTCATTTGACTTCGACTTCTAGGTTTATATCAGAAAAAGGAAGGCCAACGGATATGACTGAATTCAGACATCCCATCTTCAGAATGATCTTTGGTCAATTTCTGTAGTTAATTCGATTCTTTTCTGTTTTCTTCGGGAAGACGGACGTTCACATCATGATACATGGAATATGAAAGAATAGGCTAACACTACACCTAGCTCAGGGGGAAACTAAACTACGTACCATATTAAGAAGGAATTGTCACCGAATCGTATATCGAGGTCATTTTATTTGTACCCTTCGCTGCTTCGAGTGTTAGAAAAGTTACACACAGAGCACAAGTTCGCTTACCTATATTTTTAATGGGATCATCAACTGTTGATATTTTCTCCTATATAATATGAACACACCACGTGTACTGCGTGTTATGGATCCGTAGGCTGATTAATGGACGGCACCGTGTATTTGCTTTTAGCACGATTTATATAGAGAGCCTCAAAGTTGCGAAAGACAGGTGTCGTACTGAACCCGGAAATACAAGAGACAAAGGGTCGTATATTTAACAGGATGCAAAGCAGTTCCGCGCTATTCCTCTGGTCTTATTATTTCCAGCACTCGCCTCTGTGTGACGGGTCATTACCCCCCGTAAATGCAGGGTTTACTTGTATTCTGGTACTATTGTATTACGACAACGGCCGGCCTATTAACTTATGCGTCACGGTTTCACTGAAGAAACTAATTTTCGTGCCGCTAATAAACAAATCAAGATTTTAGTTTATAATTTTAGACCCAGAACACGGATCCTAACACTGACACAGATATGTTTATTATAATTGACATATCTTGCAAGATTTTATACTGAAGTTGACAGCTACTTTGAAAAAAAGGAAATAAACACAATGCACAAGGAAACAGTTCAGGATTTCCAATTAATAGTTCCATTTTGTTTCATTACCAGTGCTTTCCACGAAAGAAAATAATACAGAATGCACATTAGAAGGGAAACGGACAAAGCAAGTATCACATGACGTGGCCCATAGAAATTACCCCAAATTACGAATTAAAAAAATACAATTTCCACCAAGAAATTTTATTTATAACAACAAAAATATAACATTTGTCACATGCATGACAAGGAGTCCATGACAACTGAAATAATATCCCAAATGTGTGAACTGATATCCTGTGCTACAATACCAGCCATAACAAGGCATCTGTAACCGACTTTATTTACCGATCCAAGTTGCTGGCATAACGGACCTCCAGAATATCACAGCAAAGCGACCCTTAATTCTGCTATTTCCAGTAAGACACAAATGAACTACAGCGGTTTGTCATTAACTGAAAGTCATCAGTACCATAAGACATTTAATAATCTTTCATAAGAACACCTTCAGGCCCATTGTTGGTCAGCACTCCCTCTGTTCCAACATCTCTTTCTTATTTCATTGCATTGCTTACCATGTCTGCTCAGTCAATTTTTAACCTAAAATCTTAAAAAGTTAATTTCTAAAACAAACAAACAAAAAAAAACTTGCCTTCAACGCTGTAGTTTTTTTTTTTTCAGAAAAAAATCAGAAGGGTTTTACAGAAACCCTGTCAATTAAAGACAGGTTGTGCAAAATGGATAATGCAGTGTTTTTTCTTCTTTTCTATATTTGTGCACACAATATCCACAAAGCAAGAAAAAATCTGTTTTCAAACAATATAAAGACAATGTAAATGATTAGTATGAGAGTACAAATGAATACATGTAACGACCTACACTGGCTCCATGTTAACATTATGATAGCCACATTATGGGTGGCATTAAGGAGAGAAGACAGAGGCCATCACTGTGGTGCCCAACATCACAACAACATGGACAATACAGTACCATGTGGTAATGTATAGCATAATGAAATAAGACAAATATGACGCCCAAAGCTAATATTCCAACTGAACAACCACTTTGTATCATGATGTCTCCTGCTTTCTTCAATGCAGTTCAATTTTTTCAATGCTTCACTACTTTGGTTGACTACTGTGAGTAAAAGGAACTAACTATATTGTGCAATATACACCTCTGTGTGAGTCAAATAAGCTAGAGATCACTGAATGTCATAACAATCTAATATCAGACATACTGTTCCAACTAAAAATGGCCTCTTCCTTGTGTAAATAGGGTTGCAAAGTCCAACCACAGATTGTTCTCAAATATTTCAGAGCACCATATGTCTTATTTCCATATTCTCCATCCCCCCCCCCTTCCTTTCTAAGAGACATACTTGTATTGAGTACATTTTGTAAGAATTTGCTTCCGTGTCATGGTAGAATTTTAAAAAATAAATCCGAAGGTCCTGGGGCTAGGTTGGAGCACAAACTTGAATCCATTGGGGTTATGTGTCTATGTGGCAAACCTCTTGGTCCACATCTTAGCTATCTTATCATGTTCTGGCCTGTTTGTTAGATACTGCTGGGCAATACTTCCCACCAGGGGATCAGCAGGGTTACAGTCAGTTAGGAGAGAGCACACAGACAGGAGCACCTTGGAGACCGTCAGCGCAGGACTCCAGTTGTCTTTCAGTATATCCAGGCAGATAGCACCCTGGCTGTTGATATTGCAATGATAGATGCGAGTCCGGAACGTCACCTGAAACAATGGAGAACTGTGCTGATTACATAGCCCTTTGCCCTAAAACAACTACAACTGCCAAATTACCTAACAACATCCTGCTATAAACATCATATTCTTCTCCCAATGTCGAGTGGGTATGTTACCTGTGTGTTGCTTGTGGTCTACTTAATAATACAAGCTGTGCTCATAGAAAAATGCTAACAACTGAATAGAGGCTAGGTTAATTCCTGGAAACTTCTACTATTAGTAAATGTAGAACGCTTGGTTATTTTGTTACCTTTGGAGGCTTAAAAGGGTAATCTGGAGAAAAATGAAGGTCCAAGAAAAAGACTCCTCCTTCGTATACAGATCCATCTGGACCTAGGATTGTGGCCCCCCATTCATACAAGTTGTCGCCCTTTGGACCAGCACTGAAACAACAAATATATACCATTCATTAGTTGAATCCTTTGTAAAAATGAATCAACAGCTTTAAACATAAATATGCATTTTTTCTTCTGGTGATTCAAAGCATGCCTAGGTCTATCAGAATTCCCAGTCATCCTTTTACTGCCTGTATTGTATAATCAATATTTATGTTAAGATATATATTAAACACAATCTCCTAAAAAGAATCAATATACCCATATGTTCTATTTTTGTCTAAGGTAAATATACCGTAAGTTATTTGAATTATCATAAAAGAAATTCCCAGACACAGGGCATACTTTATTTCACCTCCTCATATCTAGGAATTCTATACAGTGTCAGATCTGTTTTGTTGAAGTTGATATTATATTAAGTGTTTTTTTTTTACCTTTTATTCTGGAGTTTATGATATATAACAATATTTTCATTTGTCAAGGTTTATAACAATACACCTTTACAGAAAAAAGTTGATTTGAAATTAAAAGAAGTGTAAGGCTAGACCATATCTAGCAAAGTGAAAGTCTTGTTAAAGAAAAGACCCTGTGGAATTGAATATCGTAATTACAAATCTTCAGATTGTGTAACATATGTGTTATGGTGCCAAATATTAAATTTACAGTTTCAGTTTCATTTCTTGATCCTAAGTGCAACTATCAATACAATTCTTAGAGCATTTGTGTTTTGATTTTTTATCTTTAGGCATTTAACAGGCAAAAATACTTAAGAAGCAATTATTTGATAATCTACACTTCTGTAACTTCCTGAAAAACATATTAGTATGTCCTTTTTGTCTTGATGTCACTATATGCACAGTATTTATGACAACATAATGAACCAAATACTGCCAATAAAGCATAGCTGAAGCAACTTAATAGAAAAGTAGACTCTGTTTTAGTGATTTAGGTGCTCTCCACAGGATTTTCCAACCAAAATGAATTTTCATAGGGTAAATCCAAGCAAATAAAAACAGCAAAAAGGATCAGGATCTCACCAATAGACCATCAGACCCAAGCACCTCCTCGTCTGTCAAAAAAGTAATATCCCTGCTCTTGAATTTTACATAGCAATAATAATATGTTCTCCTGTTCTGACAAATGATATCAAAGAGGCATGATGCCACATCCTGGATCAGTTTTGCTTTCCTACATTTTTGTCTTGTCAATGAAAAATAACTAGAAATGATTCCTTACCTGCAGTTAGGAGGAGGATCCACTGTTATATCTGCAAGCTCTTTTTGTATTCTGGAAATACAGTGTAAGAATCACCTACATATATATATTAATAAATAAATCCAAAATTGAATAGAAAAATTTTAAGACAAAAAAAAAACCCTTAACATAGTTAATTACACAAGTGCATTAAGGACAATAATACTTAAAACAAAAATGTTGGTAAATACTCCCATCTCATTACCTCTTTGCACTTGTGCTCATAGGTTTGCCACCAAACTTAGGTTGTGCATTGTTTTTGCTTTCTTTTTCTCTACTACTGGAGCTGTGTGCAGATCTACTGGTGGAGGCAACTGGTTGGCTACTGCCCCCAGATGGCATAGTGTTGGGGAGATCTGGAATGAGAAAATCTAGTTGTATGTATATAGGAGACAACTGGCTTGTTTTTGTCCCAGATGACGAAATGTTAGAGGAACTTAAACATAAACTATCTGCTGCCTGGCCAACTGAAAGATCTGATCAATGCAAATGTGGCATTTGTCATGTAAGACAACACACTGGTAAAAAAATAAAAATGTGTGCACAGAAAAAAATCAATCAGGTATTTATCAAGTTTGTATTGTGTAGAACAAGTTAGTTTCTAGGAAACCTGGTTGATTAAATGTTTCTGGATTCAAAACTATCTATGAGAAAGAAGGAAATCTTTATATCATGAACATATAGCATGTTCATTATTCCTACTGTTTTTACTCTCAATACCTATTGATTTGAATCAGGTTCTCTTTGCTCCACCCCTTTCCCTCCCAGTAATTTACTGCAATTTTGTTGAAATAATGGATAATACCAATATGTTTTACAATCATCAAAACACAATGTGATGCTTTATCAATTATTGGTACTAAGAACATACATTTTCATGCATAAGTTAGGTAATCATTGCACTCTAAAAGTTTTACTTTACGAAACACAAGTTGGAATTGGTTCAATATACTCTTGGTCCATAATTTCTTCTCTTAACATATGGTCAAATTATGGTTTCTGATAAACAATTTGCAAACATATTCACTAAGAAATTGATAAACAACGTCTGGTATTTAAATGGCTTCAGTAGTCAATAATTACCGCTAGTGCAATGGCATTTAAAAATGGAGTCTTTATAGCGGTTTCCATCGTGTTAAACGTAAATACTGTTATTAAACTAAGCACACTCTACATTTGAAATATTTCGTGGCATTTAAACTTAAAAAAAGACTCGAATGCGCAACTTACAGCTGCATATGTGCAGCTGTAAACCAAGACAGTGCAGCACAATGAGACGAATGACGTGGGTTGGGTTTAACGAAATCTTCGATCGTTTTTTGTGAAAATATTCAAATGAACAGGCGTCTGGGTTCTACAGTTTAAGTTATATTGAACATTTCCACCTACTCACCTTTTGTGTATAATTATTCAAGAAGAATGGTATCAGAGACTAAAGTAGTGTGATAAAATTTACGGAATCTGGAACGCCTCAGCTGATGCTCTTTGTCTGATGGAAATGATGACCTTGACCTTGTCCTGACCTGAGCCGCACTCTCCAATCATTATCTTCCGGCAAATTTTAGTTTCTGGTTGTATTAAGATGCCAATCAATTAATAATTGGCTACGCGATTTGATTAGTAATACTTAAAATTGTTTATGATTACTATTAAAAGTGTACCATTTCTTTAACGCAAGGCAAAAAACCGACAGGGGGCGCTGTACTTTGGCGCTTCGAAAGCCTAAAAATACACGTGAAGATCGGTAAGCTTTGTTTAAAAAATTCAAAATATCTGTATTTTGTGTTTGAGAGTATAGGCACCAGATCTGTTTGCAATATGAATGTTGCACATACATTCGTTAGAATACAAATTACACTACAAGGATTCTAGAAACTGTCTATTTTTGGTAAAAGCAGGGGCTATTTCTGAGTGGAACTGTCATGTATGTGTGTCATACCTGTGACGTAAAGGGAAGGGGGAATTTCCGCAGGCAAGTCGGGGCACATTCCTCACAATGAGAGCGTGGTGAGAAGTCGAAGCATCTTTTTTCTCCTAGTCAGGCACGAGGTTCGGCCATTTTCGAAATTTTAAAACTTTGACAACCCCGAAAATCAACACGGAATGGGTGTAAGAAAATTAAGAGAGGGGTGGATCACATTCCATAACATAAGAAGGGAGTTTATCGTCATTTTGTGTTGGACACTATTGACCACAGCGGCAACTGCTTCAAAAGGGAAATCCGACCCATGTCCACTAAAGCAGTATTTTGATGTCGATCAAGACAGGTGTGTGCAGTGTACAGAATGTGACAGCAGTAAAAGGGAGATAGTCCTGCTCCCTTGTGGAATTAACGTTGACACTAAGTGTGGACCTTTTTGGAAAGTAGTGGACATTGATATTCGGCCAGTTGGTGAAAGTAGTGATCAGAAAATGCAAGCTGTTACAGAAGTGTCTCCTCCAAGTAATGACCCCCAGTGTATGTCAGAAGACACAAGCTACTGGAAGACATTGGCACTTGCCCTTATAGGTGTCATAGTTTTGATTATACTGGCAGGGATTCTTCTGGGGATTTACATCTGTGTCACAAGAAGAAGCAAAAAGCACAGCAGTGATAATCTGTACAACAGGGCAAGGCTGTTTTCTAGAGACAGACTCAATACCACAGAGTATCAGCATTCACTGGCTCAGATGGAAGGCGGTCTCTCAGGAAATGGACAAGACAAGAAAACATTGTTGCGTGTGTACAGACCACATATTTTTCAAGGGTCAGATATTTCTGATGAGGTCTTTGAGTCAGAAGAGAAGAAGCCCAACAAAGGCCGATTCAGACTTGGGCCTTTACCTCATTACTTCATGAGTCTTGGAGTAGTGTCTGAGTGTGAAGAGCCTGAAACACTAGATGATGGAGACCAGCATGAGGAAAATGGTTCCCAAAATCTATCATGATTAATAACTTGATATTCATTCAAATGACATTGTTTACATATCTGTGCCAAAGACATAAGAAGATTGACTAAGGGATGAGATTTTTCCAACTATTGGCAAATTTCCAACCTTTTAGGAGCCAAAAATACCATTGGCCTAGGCTTGGTGGCCCCCTTGACCCCACGTGGTGTTTTCTGACTTTTTCTCTAAATGATCGTCTAAGTCTCATCCCTGTTGACTTTTGTACTGTATAGTGTAAATATCTCTGGTTTAAGTTCCCAGTTGAAATTCATTCGTGTACACAGTTATTTATATTCAGAACTATGTAAAATGTTAAGTTATGTTTATTGTTATGATTGTTTTTCTCAGCTGCATCACTTTCTTATCTTTAAACAGACTGTTAAAACAGTTATCATGTGCTCAAAATTTATTATTATTTAAGATTCTGCTACGTCTTATAATGACTATAAGATAGAAATATATTCTATGACCATTGCACAAAGACTACAATAAGCAATTTAGAATGTTTACACAGATTAATATCCAAATAATATTGTGATCAAGGTAAACAATTAGTGATAGATACTCTTTCTTTCATTGCTGCAATTTGGTAAAGGATGAGACATACATATTCAGTATGAAGAGTATCTGTGAAGTTTGTTAAACAGGGTGAAAAGTAGGTATACAGGCTTCCTTTCCACTGCCATTTAAGTCTTCCGTATACCATGCAATTTTTCATACTTTTTTATCTTCTGTAATAATAACCAGCAATCTGTTTCTTACATTTATAACATGAAACTTACGAGGCAAAATTGCCTTAAATGCGAGGTGTTGTTTTAGTGTACATTCGAAATCTGAAAAGATTTTCTTTGATGTTTAACTGTACATATATCAAAGGCATGATCAATGCAAAGATAAGTGGAGGAGGAGGCATTTGTTAGCCCACTGTTGCAATGGGGCGTGTTTGGGCAAAGTCCCAGTAATCAGAGAGAGTATTTGTATGTTCTGTTTGTACAGGGTCAGGTTATCAGCTTGTTCAGACCTGTCCATTGAAATGGAATATTATATAGGAGCCTATGAGATTGTAAAATACTACTTTGTTATCGTAATAAATACTGAACTTTGAATCTGATTGAATTATAATTTCGCAACTTTTTATTTTGTCCTTGAGTACTTTTTTTTTTACCCATAACTTCTGAGGTGAATATTTCACTTTTCTGTAGTCCTTTCAGTAAAATATCCTTTTTCAACACTGACAAAAAAAAAAAAAAAAATTACATAGTGATTTGAAAATTCTTAACATATCAGATGTTTCTGTTCATTATGAAACTTATCAGTAATTTAAAGGGCGATTTTACCTTTAATGAGAAGGTAAGCCTTTCTTTATTCTCCATGATAAAATGGTTTACTGAGTGTGACCTAAAAACGCCCAGTCAGTGGAGAAAAGTTTTGTATATCAGCGTTGTGTCAGCATGGAGAAAGGATATAAATAGAAGCATTTTTGGCTCATCACAGCAGAACTCTGATAAGACCTACACGGTCAAATTCTTCTCTTAATTAAAAAATTTAAATGATTCAATTTATATCTTAAGTAGCCCAATCTAATGTGAAAGAGACATGTCTTCTGTTTCATGGCTCTTACTGTCAAGAAGGAGAATAATAATGCTGGTTGAGTACTTTTCATGACTTTTGAGTGTGAACACCAATCAAACTTCCCTATTTCCTGAACCTTAAATGTGCTGAAACTTCCAGGGTGTCAGTATGACTGATACAGATGCTCCAGGCACAGTGTCTACACTGCAGCAACATGTCAACGAATGGAGGAAGCGTGTCAAGTCTGAGTATGTGAGGCTGAGGGCACAAAAGAGACTGAAACGTACTGATGAAATAAGGGTAATTGTGTTTGCCCAACTTGATAGTAATGCAGACTGGTTCAAAGCTTGTATCGTGTAGCACACTCAAGCTATAGTTGACTGTGCATATAAGTATGCTTTTGCTGTAAAATATATTTAATTCAAAAATTTTGAGATTTTGATTTTGTGCAGAGAAATGAAATCTGGCATAAGAGACGGTGGTTAGATGCCAATATGGTAGGTGGTGGAAGATGTTGATATGTCTTGTTCAGGTGGATAGTTTTCATTCTGATTTTAGAGCAGTTTTGCCAGCAATCGCAGGAGCATCAATGAGGCAGTAGAGCAACAAAATGAGTGGTGGAAACGACAAAGTGTACAGCCCCTGCATGCACCAGAGACCTTTAGCTACATGCCAGTCACCAAAATGGTAAGTTTACTGCTGCTTAGTGATAGTCCATTTGATGATATTTTTAATGTGGGTTAGTATCTTACTTACACTGTCTCTTAGGGTTAGATTGTGTTGAAACTCCGCGTATTCAGTGTTTGGTACATGCACATTTTTTTTGTCAAGTTAAAAGAAGTTTTGTTTTTTTCTGACTGAATGAGAAGCATTATTTGATAAAGATTTGTAATATTCAAAGCAAAAATGAAAAAATAGATGATCTGTTTATAAATTCATAAATGCTGGTGTACTGTCTTTTGAAAGGTGACAGTTAAAAAGAAGGAGTTTGCAATTTGTTTCTGGTTCAACGAAAAATTAGATGATCTGTATAAATTCATAAATACTGGTATACCGTCTTTTGACGTCTTCTGACAGTTGAAAAATCGATCTTGTGTTTTTAAAAAATTATTTTATTCGAATATTTCATGCCAACATCTCACCATCTTTGCTTTTTGCTAGATGGCTCAATCACTTATTAGATGATTTAATTATTATTAATAGGTCATACAGGTAATGAGAGTTTAAAAAATGTCAAAATAATTTCTGAGTGTTTTTGAGCTTATAAGATTACCTGTGATTTCAAAGTCATTGATAAACCCTTTGTCTTCACAGATAGCAAATATCCCAGTTACATGTTTATTTCTTGTTGATTCTGTAAATAGTGTGGATAGAGCACTCCCCTATTACTTTATAAGTGTCTATTTGAAACTGTGGTTAGTTTTATGTTATACCCCGTTCACACTACGCTCAGTTATCCGGATAAATTGCGAATTAGGTCACAATTCGAATAAATGCAGTAGTGTGAACGCAAGAGGATTTTTGTAATGCGCATTTTCAAAGTCCTGCAAGCGAGGTGGATTTCTAAGCGCGATCCGGATAACTTACCGGAATCGACACCTGTACAGATCTAACTGCGCATGTGTGCAGATAAGTGCGGGTATCTCTATGAACGCTTGTTTATTACTTTAGCGATTGCACCAAACGTATTTGGAGGTCACCACTCACTACAACATGAGGAAACAAACTTATTTTGCCATCTTATACTTCTCAAGAATGCTGGAATGTCTTTAGAGTTGCATTTGTCGTCACAAATTTTTGTTGGTATTTTAAGATTTCCTGTGCGGCGCATGCGCGAGTGTTCAAAACAGGAAGTTAAACCTGACATTTTCAACGTGTAATTCGGTTTCGCTCAGCGTGTGTGAACGCAATACCGAATCGAATTCCTCACGAAAAATTCGGATTATAGAAATGCGCATTTTTGCAACTGTAGTGTGAATGGGGTATTAGAGTGCTGCCAAGGCTGCCTCCTGGTGCAGCATGCTGAGGTTATATTTATACCCATAGGAAACCAAATAGAAGCACTGACTGATCAGGAAGCTGTGGTTTTATTCTTTTATCTTCAGCTCTTAATGAAGGAATTTCTACTCAGCCGTTGGTAAAGGAGTAAATAAAGAGTGAATAGTGCTGGAGGCCGCCTGGTTTCCTTTGATACTTGCAATCAGATATGTGGACATTTTTTATCTAACATATTTTTCTGGTTATGGAAGCTAAGTCCTTTTGAGACGGTTAAATAATGTTGTTTGATGTTAAGGTATTTTTTCTTGAGAGGGAGGGGTTAATAAGAAGTTTTGTACAGACAAAGACTGTATCTTTTCATGACAGACACTGTGTGTGGATGTGAATTTTTCTTTTTTAATTAACCCAATAAATAGATTAATCATGACACTTCATATCCTCAAACATAACTGGAGTCAGGGATAAGATTTTTTCCAGCTATTGGTGGATTTCTGACTTTTTTGGAGCCAAAATGTAATTGGCTGATGCTGCCCTCTGGACCCCACGCCATGTTTTCAAACTTCACTAAATGTCAGTCTAATCCCCATGGGGCGATTTATAGCACCAAATTCAGGCCTTGTTTGATAAGCAGCTCTATGGGACCAACTCTTGAAGATGTGCAGTTTTTTTTCGTGAATTTTTCATTTTTTCACACAGCTTTTTTGAGAAGTGCCTTTGAACTCCCATGAGCCTCAAGCCTTCTGCCAGGTGCATTTGTTGAATGCCCACATTAGCAGTAGTACATAATTAGATATTTGTGACACTGATTATGCTGTTAAGGTTTAAGTTATACTCAACAAAATTGGCTGAAAACTATTTTGTGCACTGTCATTGTTAGCACAATGAATAGATTTCTCCCTCTTTGTTAATGACACAATAATCTTATTTGAAATCTTTATGAATGGTAAAGCATGATCATCATTCAGATACAAGATATACTTTGTCACGGTCCACTTGTGGGTTTCCGTTTAAGTCCTGATTTTTAAGTTCATTTAAACACTGATTAATAGGAATAGATAACAATCAAGGACAGGCTAATTTCTTTCCCTGTAAAAGATGATATCACAAAATTTTCAAAGGTTGTTGAGAAATGCATGCTGGCTCTTATCATCCAATTCATCTGCCATTTTGTCATCTTGCACTGGCTTACTTGATCTAGATGTGACAACTAGTGGATTTTGTTCTAAATGTATTTTTCCTATCTTATCAAGAGAGATTTTGCTTAGAATTGGCTGATAGCAAGTATTCAGTGCATTAGAATCAAAGTACAGCCTATGTCTAGCACGAGGATTATAATTTCTTCAGTTGTGTTACATTTTAAGGTTTTTTTACAGAAACCTTGAATCATCAGTATTCATTGATAAAGATTGTTTACCTTTAATGATATTTCAAATTACATGTAGTTTATTATATCAGTTTTATGTGAGATATAAAGGAATGTTAATTGAGTTTTTTTTTTAAATATATTTTCATCAAAACTTATCAGCATGTTATAATGAAAATACATGAGGTCCTTACAGTAACAATAAAAATGTTTGTACCCTAAGATCAAATGCCATATTTTCCCTGTTCCAGTGTGAGGTGAAGAGTGGTATGAAGTTTCCTCCCCAGATGGCGCCCCTCAGGATGTTTAATGCCATACCTACTATCCCTGTGATGTACACCTGGGCGCCATTGCAGCAGAACTATATGGTAAAATACTTAGTGCCTTTTCTCACTTTTTATTATACCTAGTTTTTTTCTCTCTCTCTCTCTCTTTTTTATTTATTTTTATTTTTTACATATGTTGACCTTAATTTAATGGTTATTAATATTATTCTGAACTACCAGCTGCCCAAAAACAGTCTTATGCTTGATATAACTTTTCATGGCTGTCCATACATTTTCAATATGAATACTTCTCAATTGAAAATGATGAAAATCTATTGGTTTAACGGAATAATGTTACAGCCTGCCATATTGTGGTTACAGGTGGAAGACGAAACTGTGTTGCACAACATCCCCTATATGGGTGATGACATTTTGGAGCAGGATGGAGCTTTCATTGAGGACCTCATTAAACACTATGATGGCAAAGTTCACAGTGACAGGGAAGGGAATTTCATCGAGGATGATGTATTTGTTGACTTGGTCAAAGCACTCACTACCTTGGCTCCTGAAGTGGAGAGGGAGATGGGTATGGCATTTTTTTTTTTTTTTTTTTAATAGAAATAATTAATACTGGGATTCATCTGAAATTCATCTGTTATTTGATAATAACATTTCAAAGTAAAATGGGATTGAATTTGTTTTTTTTTTCTTTTTTAAAGAAAAAAATAAAAAGAGCAACATAGGTCTAGGAGAAAACAGTAGAAAATATTTCTAACGTTTGAGTCATAAACACCTATAATTTCATGATTTTAACCTGTGAATGAAAGTGCATTTATATATTAAATAGACAGAAATGATCATTAATGTAATCAAAGTCTATTTTGATTTAGAAATTCCCTCCGTATATTTGTTTTATTGCCTTCAGGTTGTAATGTTGTTTTGTGTGAATATCATAATCACTGTGATTGAAAAAGAAGATTAAGAGGGATGAATGAGATATTTACACCAAGAACCAGTGAAATGGGTACTCCAGTTCTGTCTGTATAATTCCAGGTCAGCCCAGCAGCAGTTCTGACGATGGTCCAAGTGAGCTGATATTTGAAGCCATTGCCAGCATGTTTCCAGACAAAGGCAGTGCAGAGGAGCTGAAAGAGAAGTCAGTAAACACACTTCATGGCATCTTTTCTCCTGTTGCCTCACACTCAAGTGAAATGAAGTACAATTACCTAAATTTTGCTGTGATCCAGGCTTTTAGTTTGTTAAAATGGAAGGTGTGGGTAACACCTACAGTTGGATGTTTGTGAATTTTAATCACCTATGTGGTCTTTTACCTTGACTGGTGGGGCTATGATATTACTTTTGTGCCTCCAGGAGGCCCAGTTCCTTTTTATTTTATCAGCTCTAAAATTTATTTAAAGGTTAATTCTGGCAGAACAAATTAAGACTGGAAGTAAAAAAAACAAAAAAACTTATGTGCCCTTATTATGAATGTAACTGTCATATCTGTCCAATCTTTTTGCAAGTTTTGGGTCTAGAATAGCCATTGCCTGGAAGTAGTTTTCAGCAGTTTTGATCTCCATATATATGTAACAGAGTTAAATTTTTCATCTGTTTATCAAACATGATCTTTTTCTGTGGAAGAACAATTCCGCATTTTTTAATTCAATTCTGATGGTTCCTGAGATTCATCAAGGTTAGGGGCCGGGTCCCATGATAAATGTTAATTTTTTTTTTTTTAACCATGTCTGGTTTATCATTATCGTTTCAGATTTAAAGAGTTGACTGAAGTGAAGGACCAGAACATTCTTCCGCCCGAGTGTACCCCCAGTATAGATGGTCCCAGTGCGGAGAGTGTGCCCAGAGAGCAAACCATGCACTCCTTCCACACACTCTTCTGTAGGAGGTGTTTTAAATATGACTGCTTTCTTCACCGTGAGTAAGGGATAATACAGGTCATGCTTGCCTTGATTTTCTTTGTTTTCTCTTTGCTTTACTTATAATATCATTTATATGGTATACTGAATGCTAACAATTTCCACCTTTCAAGTATGCCATGACATCCCCCCTCCCTCCCCCCAAAAAAAAAAAAAAAAGGGATATTACATGAACATCAAGAAGACAATAGTAAAATTAAAAGTCGTATTAAATTATTTGCAGATACATGAAAAGAGTAAGAAAATCATTTGATACATATTATAATGAGAAATAATGTTATGAAATGTGACATGACAAAGGTTTGGTTAGTAATACAAAAACATTATGAGGGACTTCAAAAAATTTTCAGCATACCACCCCACACCTAGCATGTTGGCAAGGAAGACACCAGATGTGAAAACAGATTCCGATCCATGTGGACCAGATTGCTTTCTACACGAAGAGGTACTTGGCCATTAAATATACCTATTATTTCATTTATAAAACTAATAAGTAAATGAATGAATAAAAAAAAAGAAAAAAGGAAATAAAAAAAATGCACCATTGACATAATCCCTTTTCTTTTGGTATTTAGATGTTTATAACATAAATGAATTTATAACGTAATATGAATACTTTTATAATAATTATTATTATTTTTCTTTTTTGAAGTTTCTAAATATTCATGCTTTTTATATTTTCCCCACTTTGAAGAATGTAAATAGAGAAATCCCAGATTCAATCAAAGGCATCAAAAGTTCTCCCAGGGCGAAGAAGCGTAAACATGGCAGCCATCCGTCCACAGTGCCCAGTGCCATTGCAGATGACAGTGAAAAGAGTTCAGACTCTTCAGGTAGCTGAATTTTAATTCCTCTAACCAAGTTTGCCATAGCAAGCTTGCATTAGCATATGATTATTTTTACATGATTGGATGACAGTTAAGTTTAAGGTTTCATCAGATGCTTTTACTAAGGTCACATGTTAAGGTGAGGTACCCTGGTGTGTAATTTACTTTTTACCAGGGACAGTGACTTGGCTAAAGTACTCCATACGACTAGATGGTTCAGTTTGCTGTTTCAAACATTTCAGCCTTTGTGCCCAATTCGTAACTTGGTTATTCCATGCCTGTAACTTGGGAATAGCACAAGTCTCGTAGTATTCTGGCTGCAGAAATTATTACAGTGGAGCAAAATGTTTTTTCTTATTGAAACATTTTTTTTNGGTAAAGTTTTCTGGCAATGTAACAGTATTTTGTGAAAATTTAATTTTTCACTTATTTGCATCTTTATTTTCTGTTCTTTGTCTGTACATTTGACAGCTTTGCTGCCTTGTTATTTTATCAGCTTTAAAATTTATTTTAAGGTTAATTCTGGCAGAACAAATTAAGACTGGAAGTAAAAAAAAACAAACTTATGTGCCCTTATTATGAATGTAACTGTCATATCTGTCCAATCTTTTTGCAAGTTTTGGGTCTAGAATAGCCATTGCCTGGAAGTAGTTTTCAGCAGTTTTGATCTCCATATATGTGTAACAGAGTTAAATTTTTCATCTTTTTATCAAACATGAGCTTTTTCTGTGGAAGAACAATTCCGCATTTTTTAATTCAATTCTGATGGTTCCTGAGATTCATCAAGGTTAGGGGCCGGGTCCCATGATAAATGTTAATTTTTTTTTTTTTTTAACCATGTCTGGTTTATCATTATCGTTTCAGATTTAAAGAGTTGACTGAAGTGAAGGACCAGAACATTCTTCCGCCCGAGTGTACCCCCAGTATAGATGGTCCTAGTGCGGAGAGTGTGCCCAGAGAGCAAACCATGCACTCCTTCCACACACTCTTCTGTAGGAGGTGTTTTAAATATGACTGCTTTCTTCACCGTGAGTAAGGGATAATACAGGTCATGCTCGCCTTGATTTTCTTTGTTTTCTCTTTGCTTGACTTATAATATCATTTATATGGTATACTGAATGCTAACAATTTCCACCTTTCAAGTATGCCATGACATCCCCCTCCCTCCTCCCCCCCCCCCCCAAAAAAAAAAGGGATATTACATGAACATCAAGAAGACAATAGTAAAATTAAAAGTCATATTAAATTATTTGCAGATACATGAAAAGAGTAAGAAAATCATTTAATACATATTATAATGAGAAATAATGTTATGAAATGTGACATGACAAAGGTTTGGTTAGTAATACAAAAACATTATGAGGGACTTCAAAAAATTTTCAGCATACCACCCCACACCTAGCATGTTGGCAAGGAAGACACCAGATGTGAAAACAGATTCCGATCCATGTGGACCAGATTGCTTTCTACACGAAGAGGTACTTGGCCATTAAATATACCTATTATTTCATTTATAAAACTAATAAGTAAATGAATGAATAAATAAAAGAAAAAAGGAAATTAAAAAAAAAAATGCACCATTGACATAATCCCTTTTCTTTTGGTATTTAGATGTTTATGACATAAATGAATTTATTACGTAATATGAATACTTTTATAATAATAATTATTATTTTTCTTTTTTGAAGTTTCTAAATATTCATGCTTTGTATATTTTCCCCACTTTGAAGAATGTAAATAGAGAAATCCCAGATTCAATCAAAGGCATCAAAAGTTCTCCCAGGGCGAAGAAGCGTAAACATGGCAGCCATCCGTCCACAGTGCCCAGTGCCATTGCAGATGACAGTGAAAAGAGTTCAGACTCTTCAGGTAGCTGAATTTTAATTCCTCTAACCAAGTTTGCCATAGCAAGCTTGCATTAGCATATGATTATTTTTACATGATTGGATGACAGTTAAGTTTAAGGTTTCATCAGATGCTTTTACTAAGGTCACATGTTAAGGTGAGGTACCCTGGTGTGTAATTTACTTTTTACCAGGGACAGTGACTTGGCTAAAGTACTCCATACGACTAGATGGTTCAGTTTGCTGTTTCAAACATTTCAGCCTTTGTGCCCAATTCGTAACTTGGTTATTCCATGCCTGTAACTTGGGAATAGCACAAGTCTCGTAGTATTCTGGCTGCAGAAATTATTACAGTGGAGCAAAATGTTTTTTCTTATTGAAACATTTTTTTTCTTTACTTATTTATGGTACACTCATATGTTAAGCATATTTATATATCTCCTGTGACTTGTTTTATTTCAGACCAGTCATCGAGCTCTAAGAAATCAGATACAAGCTGTGACTGGGCAGGAGCAGAGTGTTCTCTGTTCAGGTGTCTTCATGATGTTTACTACAATAATTACTGCACCATGTCCAAATTGATAGGAACAAAGACTTGTAAACAGGTAAGGAACTCAGAAAGGTGAACACCCACATTGTGGCAAACTTTGATACCTGTCACAAGGCCTGTTCGGCAATAAAATAAGCTGATCCATGGTAATAAATATATTTATACTAGTCTTGAGACCATAAGGTCAATGTTACATTTCAGCTTCTGTTTATTTATGCAAGTATCTTTGCATTGAAGCTGGGCTAGTCCATATGATAAATAATGTTAAAATGAAAATTTTTCTTTTAATTCCCAGGTGTATGAGTTTGCACAGAAAGAAGCCAAACACATCCCTGAGGTAGATGCAGACAAAGATCGAACTCCACCTAGGAAAAAGAAAAAGAAGCAGAGGTGCAGCATATTTTATCTAGATGCTATTTTCTCCTTTTAATTTTTTTTTTAAATTTATGTAATCTCACCATGAAAAGCTTATATTTCACTTAATGTGGTTGCATGTGCGGTATTTTGTAATCTTTATTTTTCATTTGCATTGTTTAAAAAGTTTCAAAGTCATCACAGTTACAAAAAATGAAGTATGTAGAAAGGTTTGAGACAGCTAATATCAACAAAACATTGTTATTTTCAGGCTTTGGTCTATGCATTGCCGTAAGATTCAGTTGAAGAAAGAAGGTCCATCTAACCACGTGTACAACTACCAGCCCTGTGATCACCCAGGCATCAAATGTGATGAAACGTGTCCCTGTGTGATGGCTCAAAACTTTTGTGAGAAATACTGCCAGTGCTGCCCAGATTGTAAGTAATGGGGAAGACTTTGGTGGTTGCATTGATCCGTTAATTGTAAAAATTACTTTATTCTACTTGTAGAATATGATAATTAAAAAATGAACTTTGTGTAAGAACTTAAAATTGAGTAAAAACAAGATTTCTTTAATTTGGAGGAGATTTTGTTTTTAGCTAAAATGCATTGCATTGTTGTTTTGTAGGTACAAACCGTTTCCCAGGCTGCCGTTGTAAAGCCCAGTGCAATACCAAACAGTGTCCCTGCTTTCTGGCTGTCAGAGAATGTGACCCTGACCTTTGTGGAATGTGTGGTGCTGGTGTGTACCTAGACTTTTCAGAAAATACAAATGTCTTGCAAAGGGACTTTAAGTGGTTGTTGTTAGTAGAAAGTTTCCAAATGTTATCTTTTCTATATATTTGACATACAACTTATCCGTTTTCTTCAGACACCTTGATATTTTCAAATTGCAGAAAAAATAGTTTTCTAAAATGACATTTTATTTTCAGATCAATTTGATAGTAAGAAATTTTCATGCAGAAATGTCAGCGTACAGAGGGGACTAAGAAAGGTGAGGCACAGCACACTGAAATGGACAAAATTGTAAATGAAGTTGGGCTGTTCTGAATTATAATCACTGAACATGTGGACTTTTTATTTTCGTATGCATTTTAGACTTTTTAATGTCATGTGTTTGAAAACCAAAGGTATTTGTTTGTGTGGATTGAAAAACATTTTGTTTGATATATCATGGTGAAAAACATGCTATGTATGTGTAGCTATTATATCTTGCTGTTCTAGCATCTACTACTAGCACCATCTGATGTGGCGGGGTGGGGAATATTTCTTAAGGAAGCAGCAGAGAAAAATGAATTTATATCAGAGTACTGTGGAGAGGTAAGTTTTCCAATCTAAATGCCTTCCTAACATTTTTCACCTAAAAAGTGTTGAAAATAAAATTCAAACCTAAGTATATCATACCAAACTGCTAGGTAAAGGGCAATGTTAAAAGTTCTTGAAGGATATTTCAGGGGCGGATTGAGGCCTTCTTCTGGGTCTTCCAGAAGACGGTCAGGTTTTCAACTTTACAATGACGGGTATCTAATTTTTTTTGTCGGAAGACGGTCAGAAAAGGAGGATGGATGAACAAAGATAATTGGGAACACTGTCAGAAAATATCTCTGGATCCGCCCCTGTATTTATTATTCTGTAATCCACTACTTAGTTGAATGTAGGTACTGTGCGGTGTGTGTGTATGCATACATACATGGTAAGGCTTATACTGTTTATAAAGATCTCTGTTTCTTTTTAGATTATATCTCAGGATGAGGCTGATAGAAGAGGAAAGGTGTATGATAAATATATGTGCAGTTTTTTGTTCAATCTAAACAATGGTAAGAAGATTACTTTATGATTGTAAAGTTAAGAGATTTAATATAACCACATTCACAGAGATACTTTGAATATAAGCAGTTTAATTATTCCTCAGAAAATAATTTGTTTGTGGGGTATTTTTTTTCATGAATATTTTTTATTTGAAAAGGAGTGACAATGTATATTAATTATTTCTCAACACTTGCACATTATAATTTCATCACATTTTCAGATTATGTGGTTGACGCAACACGCAAAGGAAACAAAATCCGGTTTGCTAACCATTCTGTAAATCCCAATTGTTATGCCAAGGTGATGATGGTGAATGGGGACCACCGCATTGGTATATGTGCTAAGAGACCAATCCAGGCAGGAGAGGAACTCTTCTTTGACTACAGGTATGGTCTTTTTTTACCAGTTAGTCAACAGACCAAATGGTACAGACATAAATGATGAATTGCTTGGCACACACTCACACTCTTCTATTTTGAATGTCTTCATGTTGATGCCTTACTACAGGTTAAATTTTTTAATGCTTCAAGAGGAAAGATTAGAGGTTTTTTCAACACTTGCAGACTTCATCTGTGTATATTATTGTATGTGTGACATGTGTAAGAATGGCAATGTTTTTTCTGATAGTTTTGACATTTTTATTTTACCAGATATGGTCCAACTGAACAGCTGAAATTTGTGGGGATTGAACGCGAAACAGAGGTATGCTAAGTCACTGCCAGGTAGCTTGGAAACATTTTGCCAGAAGTTAAGCTGTAAGACTATCATTTACCTGACCATCCTTAGGATTTGGAAGTTTAAATATATGGACTAGGAGACTTGCACAGGGCATTTTATGCATTTGTTTTTGGCCAAGTGTTCCAGTTTGCTGATATTATGATGAAGTTAGTTGTCATTTCACTTGTGGGTTGATCTTCCTGAATTATACATCCCAGCAAAATAACAATCCTGGTGTATAGAAAGAAGA